GGGCCATCTATACCATGGCGAACTGTTAGTCATAACCAGAGGGTAATAGAAACTCCTATCTATAAAAATTGATGATTTAGGGATACCGCCATGGATTGGACACCTCCTTTTTTGGGTCTCTGAAAATGGGGCTAGAAACGCATAGGATGATCGGACACATATGTAAAAAACAATGGCAACAATATAGGGACAACTATGAAACATCTACATGATGTACATGAACTGAAATCATGTACTGATTTCACTATCAACTACGTGTGTTTCTTGAAGATTTTCTGGTCACCCATGTATTTTAGAACAATAATATACGGATCTTCTCGTTTGTGGTCTGGACCAAACAACTGAAAAAGTCCAAAGACGTAAAGGAACCAGGAAAAGTGGTATGAACCTTACATAATCATAAGTGCTAGATGATTCTTGGTTGGTGGAGGTCGCAATTATACTGACTGGTTTCATGCAAATTCACTGTATTTACATGCAAATCTATATAATTGAACATGCAGTAGTGGATATATGGGGTTGATTGATACTGTCACGTGTAGTTGAACCATGTTAAACCCTATAGTTAAACCCTATATCAATGACATATAGATGTATGTATCACTCTATGACTATAATGTGTTTTAAACCCCTAGCAACCGTTGCGGGATTTGCTGATCCTCCATGACCCGATGTTCTGCGTAAACAAAAATTCAACAACAACCTGAATTGTTGGGCCATTTTGGAATGATTTCCCTAAAATAAACCATGATTCCAGGGTGGAGAACAGGGTTCGGTCGTGATCCAACATTACCCAGATATGTTGACATCATGAAATGATCGAGTACGTGGGACACATCCAGGTCACAAAAAGTGGGAGATATCTGGCCCTTTATCATTACATCGTCATTAATATTCCCATAAAATCAGCATTATCAGATATCAGATATCGATAGATATCGTGATATATTGTGATATCTCATATTCCCAAAATTTGAATATGTGACATCTACATGCTTCACAACCAACGAGCAATCGCCGTCACATCCGTTGAATCCGTTGAGCCATGGGTTATACAAACAGATGCTGTTTTTGTTATGTAAATAAGTATAAATAGAATATGTGTATATACAACTACCATTATAGTTTATATATGTTTATATGACCATGAATCAGTTTAATTGTTGTGAAAAATCCCATTCCCTAGTTTGGTCGGCTTTTGCTCCCTATCTTCGTGTATGAGTCCATTCAATGCAGCCGCACAGAATTGCAGTCCTCCTTGATCTTGTCCTTCAGAAAGCCCTGTCGGAGACAGTCAGTTTGGGTGATATCATCTCAGTTTTCACATGATTTCACCATGTAAGTGCAGAGATGTGCGTGTTTCATTGCCGGTCCATCTGCAGGAAAAACATATGTCAAATGTGAAGTTCAAGAAATGGAAATATGACCCCACTTGTTGAATCATCCATTATTGAAGGTATCAGCAGGTCCAGCTAGGTGATGTTTTGGCAGCTTCCCAAATGTTAAGGGACAAGTGACAGCACTATGAACCATGGCATGGGTGGCCTTCAAATACCGAGCACAATTTCCTATAAATTAAATAGATGTCCCAAGAAATTGCCTTCTACATCAGTAGAAAGGTTCGTCTTTTTTGCTGTCTAACTTGTGTTAAATAAATGTTGAGACCAATAGTGACCGGTGCCATAGCTTGCTTTTGTAGTGCATCACAGTGATACATGGAATGACCAAAAGCAGCCCCGTCTCCCAACTGATGGGCTTGAAATTCCGATGGCATCCATGGCACCCAGCTGGTTGGATGATCATCCATCATGTCATCCTGCTGGACTATGTCAATTGCATGGATCATGTTAGCAACATCAGGTGGATATCTAGAATGAAGGGAACACTTGAGACTTGAAATCTATATATATATATATGTATGGGATGTATGGGTAAACACCATAGTGTTGCGCAAGTTCTCCAAAAGCCCTTGGACTGGGATCAACCAATGGCTACACATATCCATGCGCTGTATTGGATGCGAAACGGTATTTGCTACAGGTCAATCCAGGGCCTTGTCAACCACATGTGCGACAGCCATTCAACTAAAGCTGCAGCTTTCTAGACTGCAGGGCGTCTTTGCGCCAACACGATTACATATATGTAATTTTTGCTGCGACCGGTGAACTGTCACCGCCAGAGTCTGGTTCGCCCCAAGTCACGACTGACCCATCAGCCAGGATCGCAGCAAATGCCCTGTAAGTTGCTTGAAGCTGCTGGACACCTTGGAGCTGATCTTGGACTTCAGAGCTGTCACCACCAGGTTTTGGTTCGCCCCAAGTCACGACTGACCCATCAGCCAGGATCGCAGCAAATGCACAGCCCGTTGCTTGAACCTGCTGGACACCCTTGAGCTGGACTTCAGAGCTGTCACCGCCAAAACGTGGACTGCCCCAAGTCACGACTGACCCATCAGCCAGGATCGCAGCAAATGCACTTTGTGTTGCTTGAAGCTGCTGGACACCTTTGAGCTGATCTTGGACTCCAGAGCTGTCACCACCAAAGCGTGGATCGCCCCAAGTCACGACTGACCCATCAGCCAGGATCGCAGCAAATGCCCGCTTAGTTGCTTGAACCTGCTGGACACCCTTCAGCTGATCTTGGACTTCAGAGCTGTCACCGCCAGAGTCTGGTTCGCCCCAAGTCACGAGTGACCCATCAGCCAGGATCGCAGCAAATGCATCACTTGTAGCTTGAACCTGCTGGACACCTTTCAGCTGATCTTGGACTTCAGAGCTGTCACCACCAGAGTCTGGTTCGCCCCAAGTCACGACTGACCCATCAGCCAGGATCGCAGCAAATGCAAACCACGTTGCTTGAAGCTTCTGGACACTTTTGAGCTGATCTTGGACTTGAAAGCTGTCACCACCATTCTCTGGATCGCCCCATTTCTCGACTGGTGGGCCCCAAGTCACGACTGACCCATCAGCCAGGATCGCAGCAAATGCCTCACTTGTAGCTTGAACCTGCTGGACACCCTTCAGCTGATCTTGGACTTCAGAGCTGTCACCACCATCGTCTGGAGAGCCCCAAGTCACGACTGACCCATCAGCCAGGATTGCAGCAAATGCCTCCCTTGTAGCTTGAACCTGCTGGACACCTTTCAGCTGATCTTGGACTTCAGAGTTGTCACCACCAGATCTTGGGTGGCCCCATGTGACAACTCGGTCACCTCCAGGGCAAAACAATGCAAAAGCTGCTGCTGTTGCCGCCAGCTTTGCCTCCAGGACAATAGCCGTCAAGTGGTCTCCATCTTCAAGTCCCGCAGCTTGCAGAGACACTGCAGGATCCAACGTGCGATGGTCTGCAGCCACAAGCCTCAAGAAGCCACGTTGAAAGGATTTCTGTGCTAGAACTCTCAAGTCCCCTACTTTGGAGGACTGCCCAATCGAAAACTTCTCACTGTAACCGCTTGGCAGTGCTACAGTAACTTGAAACATGGGTCAAGAAACTAACGTACAAACCTGTTTCTCCAGATTGATCTTGAGCCACACTGCACCACGGAGCATTGGATCCAAAGACCAGCTCGACATTGCATCACAAGTGGTGTTGAAAATATCCCGACTATTGCCGGTTGCGATCCCAGTCTTGAAGATTGTAAAGCCATGCCTTATTCGGATGGGTATCATTAGAATAATGTATATTGGCAACAACAAACCGTCATAAGTGCGCTCAGTTCTAAATTCGATAAATGTTTGTCACAGCTTTTTACATCCATGCGAACCTGTAGAACCATTGTTGGGTCATATATGCCCCATATTTAATGGTAACGTCTCTCAAAAAGAATCAACGACCTTTATCCCAAACGGCCAGAAAAAGTGGCCAGACCCGGGTAGATCACCAAACCATGATGCTTGGTGCTGTGCTTCGACAAACACCAAAGCACCAGACAAGAAAAAGTGCCAAACCCATACATCCCCCAAAAAATGGATTTGGGCAATGTTTAATAGATAATTATACAGAAACCATGGGAATGAGTCGGGTTGACATGAGCATGACTCAGGAATGGCCAGCTGGTCGTGTCTAGCTTGGAATGGTCAATTATATATCCAGGCGATTCTCCTTCCGCAGGGTCGGAAAACGCCATGGTGAAAATGTTGGGGAAAACGTTGGAGAAAACGATGTCTGTCCCCCAGATGTGGGAAGATCTGGAAGGCTCGTTTTTTGGGGTCGCCCCACCTCGGCTCCTCCCTTTCGAAGAGAATTCAGGTCTTGTAACCTCAGTTTCTGGAGAATTGGGTTGTCAAAAGCCAAAAAAAAGCCCCATTTCATAGCTCCAAAATCTCTGGGAGATGTTTCTAGAACCTCGAAAAATCATGGCAAACGAAATATTTTGTTCTGAAAACAACAACATAAGTTGTCAGTTGAGAGGAACTTCCTAAGGTGAGATTTTGATGGAAAGAGGATGGGAAGCTCATGAAAATGGCAGGCTTCCATCAATAGGTACTGAGTTGGCATCAAAAAGTCCTGAGATGTCCTGAGCTTGTGGTGATAGAATCCTATTCTCCCCAATAATCCCATCACCCTAATATAAAACACCCAAAAAATGCATGGTCCCAATGGACTGTGGAAATTCCCTTTCTCCCCCCATTCCAAAATTTTCCAAATACCATGGGATTCATCTCCGAAACCCTTTTTGAGAGTCTCAAAAGGTCTTTGGAGCAAGAGATAGATGATATACATGATATCTCCAAATGATTGTACACATTATATAAATGTAATACATACATTAACATAGTCACATACCAACATTTGCCCTAACAATTAGGTAGATATACCAGCACCATGGAGCATATGGCTATGTATACACAATAGATATACCCTCTTGTAAACAAACATAGCTATTGAAACTGGCCACAGAAATAGTTGTTCTACCCATTAAAAATGGTGATTTTCCATAGTTTTTTGTTAACGTTTACCAGAGGGTACCTGATATCAATATCTACCACCAAGACTCCAACTCATTGCAAAGCGCTGGGACACCCGCACGCCCCGACGCCCGGCACCTCGCCAGAACCCGTGTTGCCGATGAAGGGCTCGCCGTACTCCGTGTGTTGCACCTCAGGAGGCTGGGCTTGGGCAAATGTAGGGTGAAAATCATGAGCAAATGATCAAATGTGGGGAAAATCCATCGGAAAATCCATGAAATGATAGGGACAATGAATAGTATGAATAGCTGATTGACTCTGAAGGAAAGATGCGGGGAATTTCCTCAGAAACCCCCATGAGTCATGGTGAAACTGATGCCCATTCAGGAATCCAGTGCATCCGAATTCAGTTTATATTAAAATAGTTCACTTTTCTTAAGATCATGCCATATAGTAGATCCCATTAATACATCCACATATTTATGTTCTGAAAAAGGAAATTTCGGTATTTTTGTCGCCTCAAAATCATAATCTTGAATTGTTGGCTCCTTACTAGCCTTGGTCAGTGACTAAAAAGGTGATAAAAACCCTAAACCCTGACACAGCTAGGCAAATTTCATTGTAAAAATCACCCCTGGTAGAATACATATACATGTATACGTGAATATAGGGAAACCAAATGACCTCCTTCATTTGATTTCTTTTGAGAGTTTGGCCCAAGAAAGTTGCAGGCTTGACCATCCAACGAAAAGAACGGATTTGCAAACACTGGATGGCTTCCACCAGCAGGGTTGTTCCCGGCACCCCAGATACTGTACTAGAGGGAAGTAGATTGAGTACGTATAAATAGATCAACAAAACACTATTATAACACATCATAAAACTATAACAAACATGACATAAATCATGATGTAAAACCACCAATTTCCCTGCTCCCTTGTAACAATGTCAGAGGTTGGAGCAATCCTCGCCCTCTAAGAGTCCAGCGTCGTCGATGCCTGAAACCCGAAGGATTAGCGCTGGGAAAGGGGGACCCAAGCCCCACTTCTTCGTGCAGAATGCCTGTTATGTGGTAAATCCAATGCCATAAACTTACCATTTGGGGATTATTATTACCACATGTTTGCAACATGCTGATTTTTAGGGATGTTATTGGATGTTTATGCGGATGTTTATGGCATTGGCTTTACCATATTACTCCGTAGTATGCATGAAAGATGTTTGATACAATGTGTTTAAAAAATTGGTAAGTTGTACCAAACAAAGTGCGCTCAAGTAGTGAGGGGTTCAGGAGCCACGAATAGAAGGCAAAACAAAAAAAACAAGATCTGGGTAAATTACAATATATTTCACTAACCATACTAACCTGAATCGTCCGGCCATTTGGGGATGATTCCCCTTACTAACCATGATTCCAGGGTTCGGTCGAACAGTGAGGTCGTTATAATTGACCCAGATTGTATCAATACATCACCCACTATTAACCACCATTAACCACTATTATAACCAAGTATTTGGCAGCCCGCTTCGGACCCGTCCAAGGGTAGGCAACTGCCACAGCAATAACTCTTGGGGATGCTGCGGGTCTCCCAGCTAAACATTCGGCATGGTTCCCTTCTACAAAGTGAGGTCCCCCTTTACGATGGCTCAAGTTGGTGAACATAACTCCAACAACTATGATTTATGCATTTTCAATGATACTTATAACATATTATAACTTATAACTTATAACATCTTAATAACTTATTACTTATAACATCTTATAACTTATAATTTATAACATCTTATAACTTATCACTTCTAACATCTTACAACTTATAACTTATAAATTGTAACATCTTATAACTTTTAACTTATAACATCTTATACGTTATAACTTATAACATCTTGGAGCTTATCATTTATAATATATTATAACTTATCACTTATAATTAACATCCTATAACTTTTTAACTTATAACATCTTATAACTTATCACTTATAACATCTTATAACTTATAACTTAAAACATATTGTAAATTATATCTTATAACATATTAATAACTTATAAATTATAACATCTTATAACTTATGACTTCAAACATCTTACAACTTATAACTTATAAATTATAACATCTTATAACTTTTAACTTATAACATATTATAAGTTATAACTTATAACATCTTGGAGCTTATCATTTATAACATCTTATAGTTTATCACTTATAATTAACATCCTATAACTTTTTAACTTATAACATCTTATAACTTATCGCTTATAACATATTATAACTTATCACTTATAACATCTTATAACTTATAACTCATAACATCTTATAACTTTGAAGTCTAGTTTCTAGATGTTTTAGATGTTTTCAGTATTATGAAGCGTAGCATTTTCATGGATGCTTCAGCTGTTTTTATTGGGATGGGGTCTCTGAACCTGAAGAGTTCGGCCAAAGGTGATGATTTCCCTTAACACACATCTGGTTAGGCAATTGGAAGGATGACATCCCATATATTATGGAAAATAAAATTCATGTTCGAAACCACCAACCAGCAATAGTTCACTAACCTTTAACTAACCTGAATGTATCTTAAACTAAGATTTCCCGAAATTCAAAAACCATATGATTCCCTTAGAATCTACCCAACATCACACATGGTTTTCCCAACATTGCAACTGTCCCTCCGCACCGCACCTTCCGGTCTCAGCGCCTCGACCGCGTCGAAGAAACTGCTACGACGACACGGGGCGGGTCGGAGTGACATCGGCGCTGCAAAAGCCTGGCTGGGGACTCCGATGTGGGCCCCCCTTTGTGATGGCTAAGCTGGTTTAGTTTCATCCCATGAATACTATAGTTATAGGTGGTTATAAACCAACTTAGCTATCACAATAGTTAATACTATATAGATACTATTGAAATTGGAGTTATCAACCAACTTAGCTATCGGATGCTATCGGATTGGTGGTCCCACATTGTAGTCCGATTATGCATGGCAAAGTATCTTAAAGATGTGTTTCATTGATGTTCCCTGTTTTTTTTTCAAGGTAGAGATGTCTATGACTTTCAGTTGCCATGTTTGCCAAAGGGTACGTGCATACGTTGGTTTTGAACCTGGGGCAACACAGAGATCCATATGCGTGAATGAAACCTTTGGTGTGTACACGTACACGTTTTGACCCATAACCATACTCTGTCGGAAAATGATTTGCGGAATCTTTGCATGTTTAAACCCAACCTTAGACCCCCTGCAAAAGTTTTAGTTGTCTTCAACTTTAGCTGGTTAGCATTTCTTAATTCATGGAGGTTTCCGTTACGTCATGGGGGTACCGCCAAATCATCCAGTCGTCATTGAAACCGTGACTTGGAGATCCCCCATGACTCAAGAAACACCCTATTTTCATAATGTGTAATATGACCCGATGTTCTGCGTATTAAAAAAAAACCTAACCTGAAAAGTTCGGCTATCTTGGGGATCTATCGTCCCGCAATCTAACCATGACCTATGGCGAGGGAGAACAGGCTTCGTGATCCCAGGTTGATCCCAGCCTCCCAGGGCTCCCGGGGCTCCCAGGGCCTCCTGAGGCATGAGGGCTTCACCAACAAAAATTTGGTAAACATACCCTCTGGTAATTTAACATAGCTATTGAAAATGACAATTTATAGTGGATTTTCCCATTAAAAATGGTGATTTTCCATAGTTATGTTAGTTTACCAGAGGGTAACTCCAAGAACTCGTTTTTTTGCACTATGCTTCAGCTTGGAACCCACTGATGTTGGTTTTTTGTTGGCGAACTGAAAACTCCAATGTCACCATTGGGTCTATGATACGCAAATAACTATGAGTATTCATGGGGGTTGCAAAACAACAAACATCACTGGGGCCCACAGGCCGTAGCTTCAAATATCACCACTGTTGGGGGAACATCCTGGAACCGCAATGCGTGGACTGTTTTGGCGATGATTTTTCTACTCAATGGATTTGCATCCATTAAACATAGCTAAACACAAGCAATACTACGTTCATTTACATGATTTCCTCTACAGTCCGTATCCCGGTTTCGTGGGCCAACACTCAATGATCATGGCCCACCTTAGATACCCATCGACAACAAGTGATCTTCAGGAAACGTGGAAACGGATAGCAATAACTTCATTGAAAACTAGGCCTACCATTCACATCCAATCATAAAAACATATGGAAATATTATTTTTCTTCACATCCAAGCATCTGTTTTTTCCATAACCATCCCAAAAACTAGACCTACCATGGAGGTTTATGGAAACAACACATCATATTTCCGTGTGTTTTTTGGGATGATTTCCCCTATCTCCCCGTTTCGGTCAATCTGAGTGGCCGAAACGGACCCAGACTTGGGCCATCGAATGCCAGGGGCGCAGCCTGGGATTGTTGGGTACCCGTACCGAATACTAAATGTGTATAGATAGTTATAGAGGGTTGTGAACGTGTACATATATGTATATGTATATGTATATGTATATGTATATGTATATGTATATGTACATTATATGTATATGTACATTATATGTATTGTATATTAAATTATATCATAATATTATATATATATTATAGCATTTTATAGTATACTATGTTATATTATATTGTATTATATTGTATTAAATCATATTATATCATATTAAATTGTATTATATCATATTATATCATATTCTATCAAATCATATTATATATATCATATCATACTATATTATACTACATGATATGATATTATAGTATATTATATTATACTATATTACATTACATTATATTGTATTATACCATTCGTTACTCTCTTCTCTAAATGGATGGTTTTTAATGGGACATATACATATACATATACATATATTATATTATAACACAATATAATATAATTAAATATCATACAATATAATTAATGTAATATATATATATAATATAGAGATACATATATTTACAGTCATTTCCAACAGAAAACACAATACAATTTTGATGATTTTTATACATTCATCCAGGTTCAACATGTTTCAACTGGGGCCGGATTTCAAAATCGATCAAATTCCTTTTTAAATCTAATCTAAATATTGCCATAACTTGGATGTCGAAGCTTTCCCCTAATATCTTAAATCTTAAACCTTAATATGCACCCTAAAAAACAACCCGGGGTGAAGTAGTTTTGATTATTATACCTTAAATTTGACATTGTTTTCCGAAGCGGATTAACTAACAATCAAATTGACCAACTTGAACTTTCCCAGTGAAAATGGACCCTAGTTTTTAACATTTGGGGTACCTTTAGGGCAAGCGATGCTTGGGGTACACCGTCCCCTGCCTGGTCAAAGTAGCCACGCATCCCGTGGCCAGGCATGGCTGCGAAAAAATGGTGCCCAAATGGTGCTTGGTAAGTGAGAAATGTTCCAAGAAATATCAACTGGTTGGTGGTTTCAACCCTCTGAAAAATAGTAGTCAAATGGGATTATTGTTCCCAATATATGGAAAATTAATGGAAAATTAAACATGTTCCAAACCACCAACCAGTCAAAGGTTGAATGGTTTGCACGGTTTGATACGGTTTGCCTTGAGGAAACATGCTGTTTTTCCATGGTGATTGGGTTTTGAATGCTTGATCTCTGGAGATATACAAAGGTGCGCCCCAGTTCGTATGCTATGTTGGCATATAACTGCAACATTTATCACATGATCAGTAGGGTTTGTGGTAGATCTTATCGATCTAGTTACCTGGTTAATAGGGTAAAACTGAACCCAAACAAGGATGACTGAGGGGCACCACAAGGTATTTTTGGCAGAAACAACCTTGAGGTGATCATGGCGCTCATCTCAGTCACCGTCCACATCGCCGGCATCAGCCCTGTCACTGAGCTAAAGCAGCTTTGACGTGGTGTCACACAAGAAATCTTTAAGACCTCGTCTTGTGGGTTGCACTTCGGGTGAAGGGTAGACTCCCCTTAACTTAATCCTAGGATTCTTGCAAGGTGCTTGAGACTCTCTTGTAATTCGTCAACTTACTGCTTTCAGCCATCCGTGCGTGCTACTGAATCTCTTGAATGGTTGTGGGGCACTTCTAAAACCCGGTGAGCACAGTTGTTTTTTTTCAATATGTCTGGCTAAATATATAATTGATTGCCGGAGGGTGCAGGATTTTGATTGTAGAAGAATCCCCTATTTGAAAGATAATAAATCATACACAAACACATGCCCTCTGGTAAACAAACATAGCTATTGAAAATGGCCATAGAAATAGTTGATTTTCCCATTAAACATGGTGATTTTCCATAGTTCTTTGTTAACGTTTACCAGAGGGTACAAACACCATGGTCTCACAAGGTATCTTCCATGGCCATCATCAGAGGCCCAGGCCTGTGCTTGTTGAAAGTTGGCCTGCCATGCCAGTTCCGGCTTCGCCCCCCATGATGTATTCAAATGTGCCGGTGGCATATGTGTGTAGATAGTCGCCATCTATATAAAAATATGTATATAATATGTAGAATATATATATACACTATATTATAAATCAGTATGTAGAACTGTCTATTGAATTCTGAAGAAAATGACATCCATCTCGAGCGTTTCTAACGGCTCCCCGTTCGATCAGTTGCCAAAATTGGCTTGCCAGCGGATCTGCTCTGAACCTACAAATGGTACATAATCTGTTTATGTCGGCCTATACACCCCATTCATACAGGATGGGGCCCCCAAGATAGCTAAATTGCCTTATAAGTGGCTTAACTATGGTTTATGGTAGATATAACTATATATACTTAATGGTGATTATCATTTTGTATGGTACATTATGAATGGGGTTTATTGTACCATACATACATAATCATACACTAATGTACCCTTTATTTATGATGTTTTAACCGGAAACATGTTTTTTGATTACCCTCTGGTTATTTAACATAGCCATGGAAAGATCCACCCATTTTTAAGAACGGTAAACCATCTATAAATGGACCATCTATACCATGGCTATGTTAGTCATAACCAGATGGTAAAATATGACCTGCAAACAGCTGCAGCCTGGCACGGATTCTGTGTTCCAACGCCTTGAACTCAGCGGCAACCATTTGCGACTTCGAATGCCGCGCCTGCCAGCGATGACCGGCGATGTACGGCGTGCAAGTTGCGGTACGATATGGTAAAGCCATATCTTGCCTCCCCCATAAACATCACTTTGCACATCACTAAAAATCAGCAAAGCCATCAAAACATATCAAAACTGTTGAAGTACCAAAGACGGTGACATGGCGATATTTGAAACCCGAACTTCGCAACTTCCAATGGCAAACCTTGCCAGCTTGCTGAGGGCCGCATCGCACCCTCCGCCCGTTGGTAACATTACAGATTGCAGCAGCAAAGTAAAGCCGTAGTTGGACGTTTTTTTTCTGCAAAAATGGCAGGTTCAATCCTGATTAATGCTGATTAAACAAATCCATATGTGTGTACGCTGTATGTATATATATATATATACCGATCATTTCAGCGCATAGTTTCCCCATGTTCCAGCCCGAAAAAAAATATTCATGGGATCAACAAAAATTGCACTCGACCTGATGTCTGCGCCTCGGCCTCTTGAAGTTTCTGAGACATCTCCCCTGGCGTCCAAGAAACCCATACGGTTAATTAACGCCTTTTACATCCTTCTACCAGTGATAAATGATTATACATGGGATTGTCACTCCATAAATGGGCTTATAACTGACTTATGACTGACTTATAATTGGTAAAGGGCCGTACTTGTGAACCGAACAAATTGCTGATTTCAGGAGCATCACAGTATGGGGGCAATAGCACCAAAGATTTGCTGGTTGCCCAGAAAATCTGCATGAACCCTGATACCTGCCACAAGATTCTGGGAAGGAATACCAACTGAACATGGCTAGAGTCAACCGCAGAAAAAGAACGTAATATATCATGATACATACATATATATATATACATATATATATATACACATACATATATATATATTATATACATACACCCTCTGGTAATTTAACATAGCTATTGAAAATGGTGACTTATACTTGATTTACCTATAAAAGATGTGATTCTCCATAGTTATGTTAGATTACCAGAGGGTATATATATACAGCATTATGTGGCGATGAGTCACTTAGGACTATGTATATACATATCCAACCCGTACAATGTGGGGCCCCCCAAAACACGCTGGTTGAGCTAAGTTGTTTATCACTTCAATAACGATGGTTTGTGAACGTTTATGATACTCATAAGACTCGTAAGTTATAGTTTTCATGGGATTTCCAAACAACTTATCACATCTTATAACTGGGGGGCCCCACATTGTCGAAACCAAACATTCATCACGACCCAATGAGGATCCCCCAGTAACCGACCTTCCAATGTCTGGCGGGCCGCGCGCATCTCCTCCATTTGCGCCCTCAAGCGGACCTCAGAACTGCCTCCACCCCCCAGTTGGCTATGGGAATTCCAGGATCCAATTGATGGAGGTACGTTAGTACCATATTTTTGGCCATATTTTAGGTGGATATCCCCTTACATAGGCCTAACAGATAGGCCTTATATATGGTAGGTACCTCCTAGGATCCTGAAATTCCCATTGATTATAGTTGGTGTACTAAAGCCTAAAACTGATCCATCTAACGATAGGATTGATGGGATTTAATGGTTGATTTAATGAGATGTATTGAAAGCAAGAAATTCATCATTCTTGGTGTCAAAAATGGGGCTCCTGCACAGGTAAGTTGGCTGAACGATTCGTAGGTCAACTGGGATTACTTGTATCCACATGGGATTTTTAAGCCGACTTATTGCTTTGGCCCCCCTTCTTGTATCTATGTATTTATACATATTTGTACATGGATATTGCAGGTCCCAGTCTGTTATCATTTTGAGGTTTTCTTCACAATCTCAAATGGGTCCGTTCAACCGCAAACCTTGCTACTTAGGTATTCAGCACCCATGAAAGATTTCCAGTTTTTTTCCAGTGCCGGCCATGGTCACATCCACCAATGAATCTCAAAGAAAAACCATCACATTGTGATCTGCTTGAGGAACAAAAAAACAAATCACTTTTTTGATTAGTAGTGGAGTACCCATTAGTGTTTCATGGGTAAATCAACTATTTATATGGCCATTTTCAAGTTCGCAAACTGTTAGTGTACCAAAGGCTAATTGAAAAAACATCTTCAGCAAATCCAGGGAATTTTCTAGTGGTAAATCACCACGATATAAAAAAAGTCCAGCGTTTGACCTTCGGCGTTTGGCGTTGCCAACCATACCTGCTCAGAAAAACAAATCCACAGAGCACGGTTTAGACATTGAAACATCCCCACTCAATGGCAAAAACAACTAAGAAATCCCAACACATCCCAACAAAGATCGCAACAAATCCCAACAGAATTACACAACATTGCGGAACATCACCAGATTTTCTTAAATTGACCCATTAAATATATCCCTATCCCATTTCATGATACTAGTCGCTTGATAGGTTTTCTCTATGGGTTTCTGAACCACTCAACCAGGGCTCGCCTCCTTGATGTCCAGCTCACGCTCACGTTGTGCCAGGGCAGCCTTTTTTTGATTTCGCTGGCGTCAGGGATAAGAAATGTGCTGCGTTTTGTTGTAAACCAACTTAGCTATGGTTTGGGGACCCCACTGACCAGGTGATTCATTGGATATATACAACGATTTAAAGCAATTGAATGGGATATTCTGCAATATCGACCCCACCCCCAGTTGGTGATACAGTAGTTGGTTATATACCTATCTAACCGTAGGATTAATGGGGTTGAATGGTTGTTTGAATTTAATGGTTGATTGAATGTGATTAAGAGCGCGCCAGTGATGTATCCCATTAATATCACAAACCATTGCAAAATTGAAGTTTATAAGCCCACTTAGCTATCCTTTGGAGACCCCGCTTTGTATAATGGATACCTTTCACATGTTGAATTTTTGAACGGAAATCAGATGTTCCCAAACAATAAAAACACACACACACACACCAGAAAAAAAGAAAAAAACACAAACACTCACCAAAAAAACAATGACAAAATTGTCATTTCATGATGTTCCCAAAAAAAACAATTCAGATCATGTCGACTGGCTCCTTGGGATCATGTCTGGGAACATCGGTCCTGATGCCTTGTGATTTTTTGTCCTGGAGGATTTATGAAACAGTAAGCAACTACAATGAAGATTTATAGCAACCAAACTAAAATTTCTTATAGTAACATATAGTAACTATAAATCCCTTGCGACTATGTACTGGCTGTCATGGAAAATAAAAACAAAATCACCCACTCCCTCCAGGTCTGAACCGCAACAGTCAAATCTATGGTGGGTGCGGTAAAACAATGCCATTTTTACAACCCATGACTGGGAATGGTAAGTTTATACCACCTATAACTTTATGGAGATTTTTTCTGGGGGATGGTGCAAATGGCATTGTTTTACCCACATGATGTTCTTATGGGTTCATTGAAATGACTTCACAATCTCGAACCCTGAGTATATCACCACCGGACATTTCCCAACCACACTTGCGACTTGGTACGCCTGGCGAAGCCTCGTTTCCGAACAATGTCAATCTGGATCACAGCATGAAGGATAGAACATATCTTTACGAACAATCAAAACATAGGTAGACAAATAAGTTGAAAACAATGAATAGGTAAAGTATATAGGTAGGTTGTTTGTTTAGTGCATAATACCTTTAAAATGCAGCTTAAAATATATCTGGATCAAAATATGTAGGTATATCTGTTCAAAGAAACACAGCTAACAATAAGAAACAAAACACATATTATATAGGCAAATCATATCAAATCATGGCATATTTGATATCTCCGTGGCCCGTGTTCCTCCACTTCCCTCGCTGCCTTCTCTTCCTCCTCCTCCTCACTGCGCTCAGTCCGCGGTACCTTCGCCTCTTCAACGGGCGGAACTTCAGGTACCTGGCAGCACGGGATGCGGCGGCCTGAAATGAGGGAATGATCCTGCCATATGGTGAAAAGTGACTTTATACCTATACATGTACACACACATATACATATTTATATATATAGATATTGGATGCATAGTAAATGTAGAACACATGTATGTATATATATAACATATTATAAATATAACAAATAAAAACACATAAGTATAAAAAAATGTATATGTGAATATAAATATAATATATATAAATATATATATATAATATAAATATATATAGTATCTATATATATATAAATATTATATATATATATATATGAATATATATATATATATATACTGTGTATATATATATATTATTAAGTATGTACCAACCAATCAGGAACTGGTGGGGTGATCCCATTGAAAACTGGTCAGATGTTCCCTGATGGAGGTACCCCATGGAAAATCCCATATATAAATGGATGAGAACTAGGGGTGCCCCTATTTTAGGAATATCCAAATAATTCTACACCAATCCTTATCTAACCAAGTTGTTTTCATGGATTTTCATTGTTCATTTGTGTTCAAGATTCATGTTCATCCTCAAAGTTCCTAGTGATCTTTGGTCGTAAAGCTCTCCCTTCCAACAGGCGATTCAAAAGTCAAACACCAAACGTCCGGCAGCTTCTGCAACAAGATGATACCCCAGCAAGGGCAAATCTCCGGCAGAGCAAGGTGGCCAAAGTTTCGAAAGAAACAGAACTATAGGAACGCTTGAGAAAATATGGAGGTTTCCATAAATGGGGGTACCCCAAAATGGATGCTTTATAATGGACAATCTTATTAAAATGGATGATTTGGGGGTACCCCTATTTCAGGAAACCTCCATATAAAGAATGGAGTATCAGTCCAATGAATAAATCCCCTGAGTGGGTTGTGCCATTTACAACCGGGTAAAACTAACCACCTGCTACCAGCCAGTTACGATTCATAGGGTGAGGATTTCAAGTAGATAGGCAAGTGGACAGGTAACATCTATTCAAAAACCATTAAAATGACATAGAGTCACCATTTTTTATTGGTTGTAACTTGTAACCACATGTTTCAAGGGTCAAACCCTGCAAAATTTGCGCCTCCATCGCCAGGAAGTGCTTTAGATCCAGTGGGGCTGGCCTCAACCAAGCAGCAGTTGATCAGAAATTGGGAGAGTTAATTCATCGCTTAATGTGGGTAAAACAATGCCATAAACCATCCCCAAATCACCATCAATAGGTGGTATAAAACATTTCCAAACGGGTGGTTTATGACATTGTTTTACCAACATTAGACACTATTATATATATATATATATTCATGGTCGAACCACTATTTTCCACCATGTTTATCATGTTTGATGATTACAGTAAGGTCGACGATTTTCCAGCACATCCCTACAGTGTTGGGCCCACAAACGTGATGTGAATGTTGGTTTAGTTTCACCCCATGAATACTATAATTACAAGTATCTTAGAACATAGTTGTTAAAATTGTGTTCACCAACTTAGCTATCGTTTGGGGCCTTCATCAAGGTATAGCACGGCATGTGCTGCGCTACTCAGACTGCCTGGAAGTTGCTACCCGCAACCATCGTCCCAAGAAAAAAAACAATCCTCTGGTAAATCACAAAGTGGGGCCCTCTAGATAGCTAAAGTTGGTTATAATTCCAACAACTAATTATGGTTTATGATACTTCCAACTTACAACTGTATATACAGTAGTTCAAGGGGTTTACAAACCAACTTAAAACTGGGGGCACATTGCAACATACACGTGGAAATCCTTGGGTTTCCAATTTGGACAATGATCTACTAATGGTGAATCTTCGGGGATGGGTGAACATCACATTAGCTGGGCAAATGGATTTCATTCCCTAAAAATTGTAGTAATACTTATACTATTGATCCATATAGTGATGCAGTGATGCAACGCGCACCCCCAATATTACAAGTTGGCTTAGACTCCCATCTAACTAGAGACACATCCAGCATGACTGCAACATAGCCTAGTCAGTTAAACCGGCATAACTATCTAGGGGACCCCTAGCAACGAATTCCCACGAATCGTGGTTAAGAACCTTTCTTAAGACGTCCCCTAGGCAACTGGGATATCCCATTTTTGGGGTTTTCTGATGGCTCCCAAGTTGTCACCTCTGCCGCTGGGGTGTCCGACATCTGCAGCCGCTTCAGCAGCAACTTCAGTTTTTCTTCGATGACCTCGTGATAGGATGGGAGGATGGGAATGGGATGATGACGGCATCAGATATTGCCAGTTGAGATGTATAAGAAAAACCATGTTTAGGATATGAAAAACTGATCCAAATAGGTTCGGATGTTTGATGGCTTAAAATTGAATAATATGTGTTTTCCCACCTGCCAGGTAAGGGTCTCAGGTTAATTAACGAAGTTGCAACGCCTCCTCCTTCTCCTCCTTCTCCTCCGCCTCCTCCTTCTGCCAGCTGGACCCGAACACCATATCGCAAACCCCATATCGCCAGCTCCGGATGCTGTGGAGGGCGCCTCGACCCGAACTCACGCCAGAGAGAATGCCAGACAGAATGCCAGAATACACGTCCGATAGAATGCCAAGGAGATTGCCAGATAGAGCCAGATAGAATGTCAGAACATATGGCAGATAGAATGCCAGAAAAAAATGTCAGAAAGAATGTCAGAATACATGCCAGATAGAATGTTAGATAGAATGCCAGAATCAATGCCTGGAAAGATGCCAGATAGAATGCCAGAAATGATGTCAGAATATATGCCAGAAAGTATGTCCGATCAGGTCATATGCCAGATAGAATGCCAGAAAGAATGTCAGAGTATATGCCAGAAAGAATGTCACAGCATTAGTCTTTTCGATGGTGTAAAAAACAAATGAAGGATGCTGGTTTGACCTCTCAGCAACGGTCATTTTTCTTTTGCGCGTGTGTTGTCTCTGCATGGGTCTAGTCTGGGCAAGAAACGGAAAGAGTCAAAGGCAAACCCTCCTGACTCCCTCAGCATCTTCAAGCTCAAGACCCTGGGCCATCTAGTGGAGAATTTTGAGAACATCTCTCTCTAAATCGCTCACTCATCATCTTCATCCTCAGCTGGTTCGCCATCTAGAGGATCGCTCGGTTTGTCTTCCTCGTCACCCTTCTCAGCAGTCTCATCCTTTTCATTCTTCTGATCCTTCTTGGCTTTTTTGGCTCGAGGGCGACGTGTTGCCCTTGGTGGCAAGTCTGGAGGCGGGAGAGACGGAAGGGGAAATTCCTCCCCATAGGATAAAAGCAGCTCTTGTCCTCGGGCAACCTGGCGCGTCACATCCAGCTTCAAGCAATGTGTCCCACGACCATAGGAAGGCTCGCGCTTGAGCACACAGTTCGGGCTTTTGTGGACACCTGACAAGGCACAGGCTGGCAGCTGGTGGTGGTAGACTTCCGGAAGTTTTCCAAAGCATGCTGTTCCGAACCCTGTTGACTGCAAATCACGGTGTTGTGCTTTTTTGGGCGGTTTTCCCAAAACGACTAATTTGCAAGTTCTGGCCTCTGTAGTCGTTGATGAAACGTGCCAATCCAGTCATCACCATGAACCAGGCACCGGCACCGCCTTCCTTCAACGGGAGCTTCACGATCGACCTAACAATTGCCGGGCTGGTGTTAGATAAAGATCTTGCCACTTCAGAGCTAGTTGAAGCAATCGGGTATTATCCTGTCTCAAAACCCCAAATCCATGGAACTGCAGCAAGAACGTGTGATTCGTGCAAAAGCTCTGGGCTTCTTCAAGGATATCAAACCAAACTCCTTTCACCGGGAAGGTTGCCTTGGCTCTGACTTGCTTGGTAGCAACGATGCCGGGCCCACCCAGAGACTGGGTGGGGCTTGTCTTGACTTCCAGGGAAATTTGCCTCTGGAGCTTCAATTCCTTTGGCTATCCATGCAATCCGCCGTCTCAGGATCGCTGTCTGCGACCACTTCCTCAGCGAAGTCCCCTCGGGAGACCGCGCCATCAACCAAAATCACCGGAGCACTGCCAAACGTGAGACAAGCTGTCGTGCCAGGATCTTGTGGAGCTGAATCTGTGAGGGCCCACACTCTGGTTTTCTTTGGCGTTTCACTTTTGAACCCAGACCTTGGCGGCTGCCAACTAGTATGGATGCTTTTGGTAGTTATAGTATGGATGCTTTTGGCAACCAGGAGGGGGGAGAAGCACATTCAAGTGGGATCTCGCTGCGTCAAACACAAGATCAAATCCGACCAATGATACTTGCATTGCGCAGGGTATTGGAAGCTTTGCTTCAGAAGCCAACACACGAGAAACGATATTTTCATACCTTAGAGCCGGGCACTCTGGCCAAACTCTTGCTCACGAGCGCCTCTTTCAAGGTTGTCAAGAGATGAGCATGCTGGTGCTTCCACAAAGCCATCTTGTCTTTGTCCACAGATGCCCGAGGCGCCGGGAGGAGCACCATCACGGAGGGACGCAAGCCAAAGGACGGCTGGTGGTGCTTCAAGATGCCACCTGACAGTATGTTGGCCCTGTATATTGGACGCTGCGCAATTCTTATTACCTTTCTTGGGTCTACCTGTGCTTGTGGTCTACTCCAAGTCCAAACCACTGGGGTCATTGTCGGGGCTTCTCCGCTAAAAGGGAAAACAACACAGTCGATGAAGCCCAACGCTTCCAGCAGCTTCGCGGCGAAGTCTTCGTGCATACACGTGGGTAGGGAAGCTCACAGGGACTTGCAAGGATGCCGGAATGGCTTTTGCAACACGCAACTTGCACCCAACCGCATTGTTATTCTCTGTGGGTAAAATGTTAAACTTATCTGATGGTTTCGTTCGTAACGGCTACCCGAAAAATGCTTACAAGTGTTTGCGCCTCCAGAAGGGTCGTCTGTCTGTCATGGAGGAAGATTTCTGGCAGACACTTAGATGATTCAGCATAACCGTCGAGTTGCGGCCCGTTCTGAAAAGATTTGCGTTCATACCCAGCTTTTGCTGTCTGGCCTGGACTCGCCTGCTTCTTGGTATCCTTGTCCTAATCTTCGCTGGTCCTGAGATGCAAAAGCAGCCCTGGGTGTTTCAAAGCGGCCACTTGGGAAAACTGTCTCTGCTTGCATTGCAGGACCGGCTCAATTTTATTGACAACATCATTGAACCCCTCTTCGCTCTGCCACTCCACTGTCCACTGCTTCGCATGATGCGCCTGCAGGGCCATGGCTCCATGAAGGATTAGGAAAACAAACCATTTAAACCTCGATTTTCCGAGGGTAAACTCCGAACAACGTGATTTTGACAAGCTATGCTCTATATAGGCTCACTGACCTCATGGTTTTATTTTGCTGAGTGCTGAGTGCTGTAAAGGCACAGGCACAGAGGTTCAATTGCCAATAGTCAGTGTGGAATGATATCTAGGGCCGATCTGCAGAGTTTCACTGCGAGATTGAGGCCAATTGAAGCATCGTGCTGCTGGCTTTTGCCTGGAGGGTGTTTCCACTGTTTCGACAAACCACCGTCCCACCAACCCCTCTCCTCGTTGAAGCTATCGGTCCACAGAATCCACGTCAAATGTATTTGAAATGCTAGTCTGAAGAGTCTATGCATGTCAATGTACATCATCTACGACTCTACACTGCACTGAAAATAATTGAAAGTTTGAACATGTATGGTCAAGAATCATCCTGACATCTTGGAGCAATGCCTGCATAGGCCACCATGAGCAAAACTTCAACGGAAGTGCAGCTTGAACGAAGGCACACTCCAAAGCAATCAGAATAAAATATAAATGAGTCACCCACACCCTTTATTCTTTTGCTAAGGACTGGAAAAGATGGTTGCTGGAATGTCAGATAGAATATCAGAATATACATATATATGATTATATATGCCATATATAATTCCAGATGATATGTCAGAAACTGTGTCAGAATAGTGTGTCATGGTGGGGATGACTCGAAGTAAAGTAACTTCAGATATGACCTTCTCTCATCATGTTCAAGTTGTTCTTTCCCAAGGCTCCTGAGACTTGCCATTGGATTTTGTATGGAGTCCCTATATTCGAATGCTGCCCGTGCTGGACGTGCTGGAACGGATTTGTCCCAAGTTGATAGCCCAAAATTACATCAAAAAGTGACCCAACAATCTGGGATCCCCAAATGACATCCCAAATCCAGCAGAAGAACAGTGCATTCTGCAGAGTGACCAATTTTTGAGAGTTTGATAGTTCATGCTACAAAGCATGTCAATCTGGGCAAAGAAGCCATTCTCGGGAATTATGTATATATATATAATGTAAGTATACATATATATATATATATACACGTATATATATATATATACACGTATATATATATATATATTGATGTATCCTCTGTTGAACACCATCATATGGTTTCAATCTTTCCGGAAGATCCGAAAAACTCAGCCTTGCCTCAGAGACATGCACTTTGGTCTCATCATCCAAGTAGTTTAAAGGCTCATAGAACCTCAGTTTTCGGGCGGCATTCGATGCACCCTGCGCTAAAGGGTGTCCGTTCTCCTGGGCAATTCACAAAACAGCTCACGTCCAGTGGCAAGAATTGCAAAGTAGGAAAACCCATCAATAGCTATAGCTATAATAGTATCACTGTGATGGGTTGATGATACTATGACTATTGTAGTCCTATGGTTGATGATACTATGACTGTGGATGACTATAGCTATAATAGTATCATCATAGGACAAACATGTGGCCCCCAACTTAGCTCCAAATCCCATGACATTCACCGGCACCAAGATCTTCCCACTTCCAAGATATACTGTGAAGATAGCATTCACCAGCTCATCCAAAAGGAAACGATCATACATAAATACAATATCTGGTTGGTGGTTGACCTACCCCTCTGAAAAATATGACTTCGTCAGTTGGGATTCTTCTTCAGAATATATGGAAAAATAAAAAATGTTCCAAACCACCAACCAGTCTATGAAATGAACGAACAATATGATGTAATTGCTATTGTCAACAATATCATACAAGTAACAATTACAACGACACTAAATACAAAATAAGTGGTGACTTCTCTCGCAGTGTGAGTTTTTTTTGGATGTTCAACGAACTTAACTGCCATGGATATTGCTGAAATCTCATGATTCATGATGCCAAGAAAAAAACTCCTGCAGTACCAAACCTGACCAAATATGTGCTCCTCTTGCCATGGTGAATCTTAGATACCTGCCGACAAAAAATAGCTGGTTAGTACATTTTACCATTGATAGCTAAAAACAGGTCCTAAAGTATCTAACAAAGGTTGACCCAGTTGCTCCCCCCATGTTTGGGCACCTATGGAGCCAGATTGTAGCCGCGAGGTCCCAGGTTCATTGCTTAGATGTGTGCAGAAAAACCGTTGGTGAATGATCCCCCATTGTTGCCCTTCAATGTTGCGGTAGCCTGTTCTCCAACTCTTGGTCTACAATCAGAATGAAGCCTTTGCCTTTCTACCCTCCACTGTTGTCGAACATAGCAAGCCGGGAAATTCACTTAGTTCGATGAAGGTCTTAAAAGGAAAATCATCGAACTAAATGGTGAAATTTCCAGCCAACCACGTTTGATTACCAGAGGGTAAATCCATTAATATTAAGATTGTATCCTAGTCTCCTAGTTGTGATTGATTTTAGATCCCAATTATCATCAATTATCCATATACTTGTGCATATGTATTAATCATCCTCAGTATCCCATCAAACCTCCATATATCCCATGTATACCATCAAATCACTACAAAATACCATTAAATACCATTAAATCGCTAAAAAATCCCATTCAATACCATTAAATCACTATAAAATCCCATGAAATGCCATTAAATCACTATAAAATCCCATGAAATGCCATTAAATCACTATAAAATCCCATGAAATTCCATTAAATCACTTTAACTATAACTTGATATTCCCAACTGGTCTTTGAAAGTACCCCTTGAAAGCCAGAAGCATCACAGGCTGTTCTTCATGAACCAGGCGCTCGATCTGCGAGCCGTGGTGGGCTGTAAAACCATAGGAAAATCTGATCCAAGCCACAAAAAAAAGAAGTTCATGGGTTTTGGGTTGGTGGTTGACTGACCTACTCCTCTGAAAAATATGAGTTTGTCAGTTGGGATGATTATTCCCAATATATGGAAAAATGATCCAAATGTTCCAAACCACCAACCAGTAATGGATTGGGAGTATTGGTTTCATGGATTTTATGAGATTTAAGGGGATTAATTATGGATTTCATGATTCAATGGATTGGTTTAGTCGGGAAAATCTTAACCGGAAACCATAGATGTTCCCATTAAATCCGGGGCTTCATGGCTTTCCTGTAAATGTTCCCTTAAACCAATCCATGGAATTTAGAGCTGACTTATGATCATCTGATAGCTAAGTTGGGGAACATAGCTAAGTTGGAACTCCCCCCAAATCCAAAATGAGGATTTCTCCACAAAAAATGGAGATTTAAGAAGAAACAATGTGTTCTATAATCTGATGTTAGCTAAGTTGGTGAATTTAAAACAATATAACTCCAATTTCACTATGGTACATGATACTTATAACTATAGAAGTCATGGGGTGAATCTAAAGCAACCTTGTAACTGGGGGGGCACGCTGTAGTATATAGTGGTACGATATGACAGGAATATCTTTTAATCAGAAATGTTCAGGCATACGGTTGTGTTGTGATAGTGAAATGGTATGATGTGATCTGCCCCGTTACATACGTCGCTGTGATGGGGTGATTGAATCATCACCAAGGGAGGAAAAAATGGGGATATGATGCAGATATAATGAAAGGGATAATTGGGGTATAATTGTATAATATGGTATAATAATGTGAGACAAAACTGATATGATGGGGATCGAATTGGTGATATTTTACTAAAACAGTGACATGATGATATAGTGAATGAAACCACCAACGATATGGCAATACAATAGGATATGTTTGGGAACAAAATGAGGCTTATGGGGCAATAATTGGATATACCACTGATGGAAAATGGCTTTGTCCAAAATGGGGCTTACACCATATCTAAATCCACGAGCTGAACCACTCAGCAAATCTTGCCAACTTCTCTCCTTACCCTGCAGTAAATAAACATAGAGACGGAAAATCCATGAACATCCACTAGTTCTCGATACATAATAGATAATTTGCATGGGAAACTATGGGTAGTAGCCATTGTTTCTGGTGACGTCCCCTTGCAGTGCCATGGTCACGTGCAATGGCATATAGAAGGAATGGTCATCCAAGGAAATCGTGTAATGGGCAAATAGATCCCTACAATGTGGTGCCCCCCAGTGATGTTTGTTGGTTTATAAACCCCATGAATACTATAGTTATATCTACCATAAACCATAGTGAAATTGGAGTTATGTTCACCAACTTAGCTATCGTTTGGGGGCCCCACTTTGTATTAATGCAGTTGACCATCTGCCAATGCCAAGTCTTGACCATGGCACACAAAAAAAGTTTGACTGAAAATAGGTTACCCCAATTTATATATCAAAAACCCATGGTTTTTGTTCATTTTCCGCATTACCCTAAGTAACATTTTTAAGGGTATACCATATCTCCAGTAGAATACTTATACCTCTACATACAGATTCATGTTCATATCCCCGATATTTCACCAAATTTCTTGTTTTATCAAAAGTTTACCCCCCAAATTGTCCATTGTTCATTGCTTCCTCGACGATTTTTCCACGGTTGTCCAAAAAGCATCCCGTCACATCCGGCCCCACATGGTGGTTTACAAGCCCCATGAATATTAACTATACTTCTAAGTATCATAAACCATATTGGAGTTATGTTCACCAACTTAGCGATTATAGATCATCTATGAATCCCATGAAATCCTATTTTTTCCTGGTTCGATGACCATTTTCCAATGGTTTCGTGGGCCGGGGGCCCCCCTTTTATCGGCCTCGCGCATGCTGAGCTCATCGAAACGCCGCAGCTTCTCGCGGTGGGAAACCAGCTCCTTGAATCGTCGTCGACGTTCCATCGGGAGTGTCACTTGTTGCATTGACATAACCAACAATCACTGGGATATAATACTGCGGATGGAAGAAATCCTGCACCACCTGGGATGGTTGAAAGTCTGTAAATAATGGGATAAACATGGATAAACCACCTATTACCTGGTGCAGGATTTCTTCCATCCATAGTATCATATACTGTATTCATAGATGACCCATGTACAACCCATACAATCCAGAGTAATCCATAGATAATCCTTGTGTATATATATATATATATTATGTATACAAAATCCACATATAGTCCATATGGCCACACTTGGATTTGCTTAAGGAAACCCAAAATATATCAGAAAGGCATATTTTTGGGGACCTGGTGGCGTTACACTCTCAAATACATACACATATTCACTGTAGATTCGCTGCGTAATGGATTTCCATGGGTTTCCCATTGGAAAAATATATCTTCAGCAAACCCAGCCATGGTAATACAATGATGATACAATGGGAACATGGATGATGATCATGACTATGTTGGTGATGATGATGATGTTGATGAGGGGAAATGGATGATACAACTAGCAATAGCGATATAATCGGCAAATGCTCGACATATCAGACATATCATATACCATGGGAATATCATGGGAGTTAGACTCAATGAAATTTCTGGGATTGATGGGAGAATATCATGGCAACATAATGCTGATATCATGAACACATGATAATGGGAACATTGGATTGATTTTAAGGGAACATCATGGAACATCATCGGAAAACGTTTGATTTTTGTTGACCCACAGATCTCTGGATTTTCCCTGAAACCAATGAAGGTGCTTACAACACAAGAAAGCCCAACATGTGGGATTGAAGCAACACTGGAATGCAAGCAGTAATTGGCAAACTAAAAGCAACAGCAATTGGAATGTCACCAACGAAACGGGAATCTCATTAACGTATATTAACATCTGAAAATGCGGCTTTAACCAAACAGAATTGGAACTTCAGCTGAACATACATGGATGTGTCTGAAAGCGGGGTATACAGTACAACATGGTGCTTTCGTTTTGTAAGAAAATGATTTTTAACCACTTGATGTGTTTTGTTTCCTGACCAACACATATTGTCTTGGAGCAGCTTAGCAAATGCGTAGTAGCCCTGGTCAACAGCTGGAGGCTGGCCTCTGATTCTTAGGACAAATGACTTGGACAAAAATCAATCCCTCAGTTTTCGCTGCAAAATGTCGAAGAAATCTCAAACACCCAGAACTTTACCTGGATTTGGGTCGAACATGGGGTCATTTTATCTAGTTCATCCATTTTGGGGCGCCAATCATTTTGACACATACCCAACAGATTCCGACCATCTCCAACCATCTTTTTGCATTCCCATGCGCTGTTAACGCAACGCGTCTCTTCAGGACTTTGCCCGATCTGAAGCTGTCTGACGAGGCATAAAATCCAGCTGCCAGCGGTTGATCATCATTTTACCCATTGCTCGACTGTGAGTTTGGGAGGCATTTTCTATTTTTGGAAAAACAACCTCAAAAGCATCTTTCTGGTTAAGCCACCCGCAGGATGATTGTTTACAAATCAATTCTAGACTAGAGATTTTATACCTCGAGCATTGCATATAAGAAATTCTTCCACAATTCCATTGCTCGA